GGGATGGAGAGGTTATCATATGGGGAGAGATTAAGGTCTCTGAAATTGTTTTCTCTTGAAAAAAGAAGAGTTAGGGGAGATCTGATTTAGGTAATTAAGATTCTAAAGGGAATTGATAGTGCTGAATCATCATCTTTTTTCATATTTAACAATGAGAATACTAGGACTAGAGGACACAAATATAAATTTTGGCAGGAGAGGAGTCATCTTCAGCTAAGACAGTTTTATTTTTTAAAAGGGTGGTTGGCCTCTGGAATGAGTTGACTTCAGATGTTGTGGTGGCAGTAAATTTATGTGAGTTTAAGAGAAAGCTTGATAACAATATGAATGATAAGGGCTGGCTTTAGAATTTGTATTTTATTCTTTAATTTATTTAATTTGATATTTTTAGTTTAGTTTAGAGGTCCAATAGGTCCCTTTTTTGTCCCTAAACACTATATTATGTTATTCTAAATGAGATGAGACAAAGAGAATTTTGGGTCTTTTATGATTGTAAAAAAAATGTTTGTTAATTTTGTTGGTCTGTTTGTAGTTAAGTTGAAAGCTAAACAATAGGCTATCTGTGCTGTTCCCACCATGAGTATCAAAACCTAATTTCTAGCATTATAATTCTGCAGACTTACTGTTGTACTACTGGAAGGTGGAAAAATATGTAACTAGAGCTTTAATTAGATGATTTTACATACTGAAGAAAATATATTAATTCAAGTTCTATTTTATCTTATTACATATACATATGATTCACCCTGAAATGAACTCTTTTCTGCAAAGCTATTGCTACCAGTTAACGTGACTACAGCATCTTATTGAATAGATAATATAATGCAGAACTTACAGTTTACATAATATTTAATTGTTTCTTACTTAAACAACATGATTTCTTAATATGAGATACTTTAAAAGGAATAATCCAAAGATTCTGAAGTACTTTATATCATTTTTTTAACTAGTACTATAAATGTCTTATATTTATTCATATTACCTTAATAATTTAATTATGCTTTGATTTTAATAGCAATAAAGAATAATGAAACAAGTATTTCAATTAAAAAATTGAAAACATATTCAGTACTTGGTTCAGGTAATAGTAAAACTCTGGATCACGCCGAAGGAGTAACCTCTGTAAAGTGCTGTCATCAGCTCCCATCACTAGCTGGTAGAATATGTGGAAGTTCCTTTCACCGTTATTCTGATGAGCCACCCGAGACTTCTCCAAAAGGTAGTTAAGGATATGGCCACCAAGAGGTGCACCCTAATAACAATGATAATGTCTCACACAATATTTTCACCTCATAACATATTAAAACCTACCTTGTGATACTAGTAACAATGAATGTAAGGCATCAACAAAAACTTTTTTATTTGCTGAGAGAGATAGCATTATTGTGAATATTTTAATCAAAATATTGTATGAACACTATTAAATATAAATTAATACTCATAAATAGCTTGCAAAAATTTAGTAAAACACGTTGTAAGAAATATACAGATAATATACCAAAAAACCAGTGGGTTAAAAATAAACAGACAATATACTTAAACAATATTAAAAAAATGAAAAGGAGAAACCAAACTTCTGGTGTATACAGGACACTTTTTCTCAATTCTTATGTTTCCTTATACTCATTGTGGGGAATATTTTAATACTCAAGTACAATAAGCAAAAAATATATATTTGTTAAGTTAATTCCGGTAGTTTCAAATACTGATTGTTTAAGCCCATGTACTAACAATGTTTTAAGTACTTTATTGTTTTAATGCACACTTATCCACTTATTTAACCCTCAAATTACAAACGTTTTTATCCCATTAACAACTTGTGAGGTCCATATATTATATAATATTGAGTAATTGTATGTAGTTACCTATTACAACTCTTGTGGTAAAGAACAAAGAAAATAAAATTAAATAAAATTTTTTATTCTTTACACAAAATACATAAGCACCAGCAATAATTCATTGAATTAATTGCAGTATTATTGGTATCTTTGTTTACATTTTTTATGTGTGCTTCATATATTATTAGGGACTCTGTAACCAATAATTTCATGGATCCATAAACAGTTTAGAAAAATAAATGTGTTTCATCAGTAACTCTAGGACTAAACTAGTGGGTATTACCTAATTAAGCTAAAATATCTTAAAACTTTAAACAGTTAAAGTGTCACAAGCCATAAAATTCTACATATTTGTCAACTTTGAGACCCAGAGAAAGAGCAGCTGATAATGTTCAGGTCAAGTTTAAGAACTAAAACAATACATATCTGCAATAGTTACTTTCTTCCTACTTGCAATGTGTATGCCCTATAAATAGTTTAGAATCCAAAAATAGTGATCTATGTTGTACCTATGTATACATCATTCTAAAATGCTTAATAGCTAACAAATACACAAGATATATTTCACTTCTCTAAAACATTAAATTTTCATAACATATAGCTATGTGGTTCCCATTGTTGCTTCTGAGAGAGATTTCTTTTATACCTAGTTGATAAGAATAGACAAGTTAGTAGAACTTTGTTACAGCTTCCTGAGAAGATACATGAATATTAAGAATATCCAAGATATATATATATATATATATCCAACAAAGGTCTTATAAAAACTCACTTTTTGTAATTGTTCCTATGTTTAAATGGAATGAAAGATCATGAGGCACATGATCTACAGTCAACATTAGTTATTTGTTGATTTAAACATATATTAGTAATTAATTTTTTGACATACATAGAGAAAGTGGAAGAAGTCGAACATATATCCTAACTTGGTATGAACATAGAGTTTGTCTTTCACTTGATGGTCTAAAAGTTATATAAAACTGGGAAGAAAATAAAGTGTTCCTTAACAAAGGGAAAATTTGTATATTTTGTATGTGAGGTATTGTCCTGAGTTACAGCAAAACAAACCATAGTCGTAAATCGCTTATAAAACCTCTTGTGTGACAAAACAAACCATAATGTTAAGTTGTTTATAAAATCTCTTGTGTGACAAAACAATCCATAAACTTAAGTTGCTTATAAAACTTCTTGTGTGACAAAACAATCCATAATCTTAAGTCACTTATAAACCTCTTGTGTGACAAAACAAACCATAATGTTAAGTTGTTTATAAAATCTCTTGTGTGACAAAACAATCCATAAACTTAAGTTGCTTATAAAACTTCTTGTGTGACAAAACAATCCATAATCTTAAGTCACTTATAAACCTCTTGTATGATAAAACAATCCATAATCTTAAGTTGTTTATAAAATCTCTTGTGACAAGATAATGCATTAACTAAGATAAAATACTGTCATGTAAAATGTAATGGAAAGAAGAAGACAATTATCTTTGTCTCAGCAAACCAAAAGCTTTTTAATGAGGTTTGATATTTATCATAAGTTAATTTCTGCTATTTATAATGAGTATTCCTGCCCGCAATCAAAAGCTATAAAATAAGTTCAAAATTGTTGTTTTTCAGCTTCTCTAACTAACACCTGTGATTTATCTTCAGACTGCAGGTAGCTGCATGAGAAGTTCCTGCATAGAAGGTCAGTTCTCAAGAGAAAGAACATCCATAGACTTGGAGGTTTTTCTAACTATGATTTGAATTTTTCTGTGTATACATTTGAATAACACAATGCCATGCTGACCCTCAAGTTTTCATAGGCTGGTCTGGTGCTTTTTACAAACAAAGTTGAACATTAGCCAACTAAATATTTTTTTTCACTTCTCCTTCAAAAAAATCCTAGTATCTGAAAAAACTGCTGGTTAAGGGCTTATGAGGCCATTTGTCTCTTCTTTCCTTGATAGAATTACTGAACCTGAGTGAAAGACATTTGTATGGTTTATAAAAGTTTAAAGATAATTTGGCATGGATGTTAGTGGAAATGATTGTAGATCGTTTGTTTAAAATTGTAACATGGGACAGAAAGGAAATCAAACAAACTAGCCTTTATATTTTGATTTCTAGTCCCTGCCACTCTACAGGTCTTCAATACATGTTATTTTCTAAGAATATACAAAGCCAGTAGATATAACTTGGTGCACTCATCAACTAACTCGCTTCTATCCTTTTACACTTTTGAGATACAAAAATCATAAAGTCTATGATTAGGAATAATGTGGACAAATTAAAACAAGTATCTTAACTAGTCTGAAGAGACTTGTTCCGAGATATTTAAGAATTTATTCGACATAATATGAATCTATGATGAATAGTTTCTTAATTTTCTATTATAGAAAAGATTTTAAGCAGCTTAAAGCTATAGCTAGTTTCAAGGGAGTTTACTTTTTCACATATGGTTTCAACATGTATATTCAAAATAGTAGATGAAAATCGTGGGTGCAAGCCAACAGAAGTGATTAAAGAATTACAAACAGATTCAGCAAGCCCCATTCTACAGTACTTTATGCATACACTACCTCCCCAAATGCTTAAAACTGTTTGATATCATTTCAAAACATACTCCTATAATATCTCAAATAAACAATACCTTTCTCAGCCTTGTGTATATAGCTTTAAGCTCCTTAAGATCTTTTTTTTATAATATAAAATCAAGAAACTATACATAGATTCATATTAGATTCTCTTTCAGTTTGAAAGTTCAATTAGATAAACACTGCTTTATAAGTTGATAGATGTAAAGACAAGAATATTCAACTGAACATCAAATGATCTACATCACCTGAAATGCTACTGTGAAAAAAATAACAGATGGGAATTCTCCTAATCAAACTAAATGAATCATTAATATGAATGTATTTGTATAACATTTAAGATATGTATAAAATCAAGAAATAAAAAATAAACCAAAAAAACCTTTTTTATACTTACCAAAAAATTGAATTCAATATCCATGTATTTGCCAAATCTACTAGAATTGTCATTTCGATTAGTTTTGGCATTCCCAAAAGCCTACAAGAAGAGAACATCAAAGTTAGTATTACCAACACATGAAAACTTGCACAACACACTTGGGAAAGTCAGTGGAATGTGAACAACATGGCCTCCTTACTATGATATCACATGTTGTATCATTGTACACAACACTGTGACCTCAGAAGTTCCATACACCTACCAAGTTACCGTATCTTTAGGTTTTTGTATAATGCATGGACATATTTCAAATAACACCAACCATAAATCATGTGACATTGAAGGACAAGATAATCCTCATCCATAGATGCCACAGGACCTGAAAGGATGATTAATTCGCTGTTTCTCAAAAAAAAATTTACACAATATTTGATACTGTCCTGATACCTGCTGCCCTTGAATTTCCCAAGTGTGCAACAAACTGTTCCCAAGTTCCAAAACAGAGTTGTTAAAAATATAGAACCTACAATATATAAAACCACTGCTCTTTGGTTCATGTTACAAAATCTAGAAAAACTATGTTCACATTAATATATATAAAAAAATCATTGTTTCCTGTACTCTTGACCACATGTAGCTACCCAAGGAATAAGGTCAAAACATACATAAATGATCTGTTGTACATCAATACATGCAGCAAATGTGTATTGATATGAAAAACTTTTAACACTTAGTTGAATTAAACTATTCATCTTTATGGGCTAAAAATAGAAAGAAAACATTATACTTTCTTAGGTATCATAGGTATAGCAGAACATAATGTTACTATTATCAAAACAAAGTAATAGTTACTATTATCAAAACAAAGTAATGGTTACAATTATCAAAATGATAACTAAGTTATTATGACTTGCATACAATTTGACACAAGTTAACCACTCTTACTTTGTAATATTTCATGTTGGTACAAACTATAAGTTTTCTTTAAAACAATAGTTTCTGTTATACAAGGATTTACTTTAAGTATTAGAGCATGTTACATGTCCGAAATAATAATAATGTTGCAAATTCTGAAAAATTTTATGAATTTTCCTTGATCATATTCTCAAATGTACTTGACAATGTTGGATGACACCTTCATTATCGGAAAATATTATCATTTTACTATTCTTTAACTGATTTACTGAGGACTCTAGTGACCAGGTGTCTGGTTTAATTTTAAAAAAATTTTTTGCTGTTGTAAAATGATCACTCTACACTTAACTTATAATTTACTGTAAATTAGACTTTATACTGATATCAACTTAAGAAGTTAATGGTAGAATAACGTGTTCTGCACCAGTATTGGTGGTTCAGCTTAGGAAGAAATTCATAATAACAGTGTTTAATGTCAGTATGTTACTAGTTTTGTAAACAGATATTCAACGCATCGTGTACTACATTTTCAAATTAAGTTAATTAACACTCTTATTTAAGCTTATATGATGATATAATGATCAGTTTTTAGTTTATGTGTTTGTCTTAGTGCTAAAACAGAATTAGCCAGTAACTTTATCTAAAATGCTGTATCATATATTGTTAGATTTTGGGTCCTGGGGAAAAAAAGGGGGTTCACCTTCTGATATTCACATAGTTGATACTGATTTCCCAATAATAAAAGAACAAGAGTTATTAAGAAATGTTCTTACTTTCTATACAGTTAACGTGAGATGTTTTAACAAAACAACTACCTTAATGTCCTTGAAGACGTACAAGGATCATTTAAATGAGTTTTATCAAATTCAACAAATAAAAATATTTGTATTCATGTTATATACAGAAAGTATGTAGCGTGTTTCATTATAATCTTATTTCTCTTAAATTTGTGTGTTATATCAAATATTAATGCTTCATTTTGTGAAAGTTCCTTAACAAAATGTAATGCTCATTGACGACGTTAGGAAATCACCTAGTTTCAAAAAATCAATTAAAGACAAAAATACAAAACCCTAAAACCAAAGTGCTTTTGAAAAATGGACATTTCATAATCAGTTTGCCTATGTAATGTTTATAGATGTTCACTGTAATTTAACTAAACATTTGCACTTAATATGCAACATTCATCAACTTAAGTTATAATTCGAGTTATTTACTGATACTAAGTATACTGTGAACAATACTTGTATTTTTGTATCTTGGCCAGTAAATGTACAGTTTTTAAGTGGTTAGTTTTTCTAGGTTGATTCTGATACACTAATTAAATTCCATGGATATATTAGAAAAATATGCCCTATCGAATCTGTTGTGCCTGATTGAAGTTCAGGGCTTTATTTTTTTTTCATCTATGTGTAAAAACTTTCTTCAGTGTTCACACCATAGTTTTTCAAATGGTGTGAACACTGAAGAAAGTGGTGTCTCTTTTTTTAATGAATATTATTATAAAGTTTTAACGTTTAGTTTGAATTATTTTTATAGATTCTTGTATAGGTTAGCTACAGTACAGCATAAGTGAATAATTTTCATGAGGTTCGTGTTTTAAGTTAAAAAGTCAATATACATTTTCTTTAGAGCTTGAGTACATTGTATTAAATAAAATTATTCTGGAGCCTCATCATGTTGTAGCAGTTCATGTTGTCATGCTCTACCTGATGACCATGCACCCTGACAATAACTCTGCATCACAGTTTCCATTGCTAAAAGACTCTGTCATATCCAAAGCACATCACTCCTCCTTGAATTCTTTCTATGATCCATCTTGTGTACAATAACAAAAGTTTTGCAGCAGTCATTTCAACAGTCAGATCATAAAGAAATCCATAGGAGCTACATATAGCAACTTGACCAGTATGTGCCACAATGGCAATAATACCCCTTTCATTTTATAGCTGCTTAAAATGTGCAGTAGTTGAACTGATATATTATGAAAGCAACTCTTGTGATAGTTTTCCATATGGCGGTCCTTCTTGATTATGTTATGTACTGTTGCCTGGGGCACATAATCAGCTTTTGCTGCTGACCTTTGTGATCTGGGATTCTTATCTGTTTCAAGATGCCACATTTTGCTTATCATGTCAGGGATATGACTTGATGCAAGTCTCTTTATGCATGGTCCTGGTACCACAAGTTGGTCATTCTACAATGGACATCCTCATTAAAATTCCTGAACTGGATATATCTTTATGATATAAATGTATGAATATCTTGCATTGGAAAAGGCTGTTATACATCAGGTGTTACTGCCATGTGACTTGCTGAGTAGCATATTCAAAATCATTTTAATATAATGTACTCACTTCTCTGTACATAAACATCAGCCATAACTAACTTTTAGAATTACCTATTATAAGCTAGACTGTAAAATTCAAAAGATCTTCTACCTCTAACACAGGATTAGAATTCAAGAGTTTTTCTTTCACATGCTCCACCTGCTTAGCATGATAACTTGCAGCAGCAAGGTAATGTAGGATTTTTTTGGAAGCTTCTGTCTTTCCTGCCCCACTCTCTCCAGATATTAGGATACACTGATCCCGGCATTCCTCGTGCATCAGCCTATAGGCTGTGTCAGCAATGGCAAATCTATAAGTCGAACATAATGTGAAAATAAAAGGCATTAGTAGTCATTTTCACCACATTATATTTATAAATAATGATAGGATATATATCTAAAAAATTAAAATGCATTATGTCAAGAATGAATTTTTATTTCAACAGTATCACTTCTACAACATTAAATTTGTTCTTCATTCAGCTCCTCAGATGCTCAGCAATAGTCTGTGGGCTTATGCTAAAAATCAGATTTTCATACTCAAGGTGGGCACAGCACAGATAGCCCATTTATGTCGCTTTGTGCTTAACAACAAACAAAGCCTCTTCTACCAACAACTTAATGTTTCCGTATAACAAAATGAAGAGGCATAGACTCAAGATTAACATTTTAGTTTAATATAAACAGTTTCATGATGTTACTTTTCAGCCAACAATGACCCAATTTTTAAATTCTTAATGTTTTTAGTAATTTAATCCCGTTACCCAAATACTGTTCAGATGTAAGAATGCTGAAAAAAATATAAAAACTAGCCGCCCTAACCCAAGAACTTTTAAGTAGACTTTAAAATAAATCTGAAATCGATTTATCTATCTGCATAGCTTCACATAAATACCATTAAACAAATTCAATAAGCATAAAAATTGTGAAACAACAAAGTTAAAAACAGTTTTATAACTTGTTAAAATGTTTTATTCAGGTACACTGATTGATATCTAACATATAGCTAAAAGCTTCCTAAATATGCAGGTTTAGGATAGTTAAAGGAAAAAATAAGTACTTGAACATGGACAGGGAAGGAAAAAGACAAATGTAAGTGAATAAATCTTTATTCTGTGGATTTCCTAAACTTACTAGCTTATTACAGATTTCAATTATGACCTTACTGGATGCTGGGGTGAAGAGGTAATTTTTCAAATATGTCTTCGCCGGACAAAGACAGAAATAATTATGATATATTGCACTTACATATCAGACAAATGATAAAATCATTATATCCTATATATATAGCCTAAATAACATATTCCAAATAGCATATGCAGAGAAGAAACCCCCCCAATGCATAACAATTTTTACAAGTATCTCTATCACCCCTTGAGACAAACCCCCCCACCTCAAGAAACAAAGACACAGTGCCAAAGTGATCTAAAAGCATCTCATTTGTTGTAGGCATTTACTCTATATTCAAGTAAGACAATTACCACATTTTAAGACCATTCGGATGCGACATCTGGTTAACAAAAATGGTGTAACTACATGCAGAAAACCTGTATGAAAATTGATAAAAGCTCCCTGAATAAATATATGTTCTGCATCAATTACAGAAGAGTGACATTAGCTATTTCAACTGCCCTTCATTCTGGAATAAGCTTCGAATATAAAGACCAACGTTTTTTAGTTCTTGCATCACACACTCACTTATTTTGCTTTTTTATCATGAGTGACATATAGTTAGGACAGGGGTGAAGTTACCTCAACCCCCCCCAAGCGTAACATAATTTATTTTGGGAACAAGATATTTCTATAAAATATATTGTTTGAATAGTTATTCAGTAATATCCGAAACAATCTGAGTAAGTGTTTCCAAAGGAGACTAATTTGTAGACTTTACTTTTTTTAAAAAACCAACAGTCCAGGTGCCTAACTCCCCTGGAGGTCCAATAATAGTAGAAGAATGAAGTTAGGATATTTTCAGATAATTGTTTAAAATAAATATACGGTAGGGATTCAGTATAGGAATCAAGTTGGGATATTTTCTGCTTAGTATTTAAGTTAGATACGTGGCAGAAGATTTGACATAGAAGAGTCAGTTTAGAATATTATGAACTCTTCATGAATACTCAGGATGTCACGAAACACATCTCCAGCTTGAATATTAAGCAAAGCCATTACATGAATGAAACCACAAATAAATTCCAGCTGCAAAGAAACATTTACTTCGTTAAAAAGGCTGCTCCTTTTCATTCTTTTCGTTTGTTAAATAAATGTAGAATGTATTAAATCACGCTGGAGTCTCATAAAAGTTTTATATTCGGCTAATAAAGTCAAAATAAAGAGTTGGGGGGGGGGGGTATAGTAATTCTAGCATGAATAAGGTTGAACTGAAAGTCCACTGGAAGAACACTTATGTTGTGTAGTAACGGCTAACAAAGCGCTCCCTAGCAATTTTGAATGTCTGAGCATTTTGAAGTTGCTCAGCAGAAAAAACAAAACAAAAAATAAAAATTAGATATTAAGAAACCATTCAAGCCAGTGGTGCCTATGAGCAAGAAAGAAAATGTAACAGATAAAACAATTCGGTCATTGAAAATATTTTATTTCCATATTTAGACCTCCTGAAGAACAAGAACGAATAGCCTCTCAATAAATTTAAAGTATTCTCATTTTACTCCTGCAACGGTTGTTTCAATCAAAAAACTTTATGCGACCAAAAACTGGCCAAAAATTAAACTATTTTCACTCGTACTGTCGATACCGCCATGTTGAAAATAGGAATATCTGAATTATTTAATCCTACAATCACACGTTCAGATAGCGGTATACTGACTACACGATGTTGCTACTCTGAGCGTGTCCTCAGTAAAATTATCTAAGCCCCGGAAACCTGACCTGTACTATATTCCACTGATGTCACGGACAGGATAAACTTAGATACTCTTCGTAGAAGCTCGATAAATTGAGCATACTTAAGTGATTTTAGAGTATTTGTTAATTAAAAAACAAAAAAAACAATGTGTACGTTTCATATCATTGAAATTAAGTGTTAAAACATTATAACTGCCTATTCAAAGTTTATTCTTTATTCTTATGAACAAAAGATGGTTATTTAGGATGAGTCCTAGAAAAAACTCGCTTTATAGCGCACCCAAAAACCCAAAATGCGGAGTACATTCTGAAAAAACTTTGTTTATTGAGTTCCAATTGTAATAACGTCACAAAATCATTAATTTCATCCGAGTTTTAATAGGCAGTTAGTTTTGTGTTCGCTATGAATTATTGCAAGTAAAAAAGTAACAGTTTTCATTATTCTTTAAAATATTATTTACTTAATAGTTTAATTTATTACTTTTTTTCAAGGTGCCCAATGGTCTTGCTGAGCTGCCTATGGACTAATTTATTTTTATTATATTTTATTTTGTAGAATAGATTGCGTCAGGATAATTATAAAACTAATAATTTCCATCTGTCTTTTTTGCCATATCAACATAATGTTCTCCGTCAGATACAACTTTTATAGTAGTTGTATAAAATGTGATAACATAACAGGTAACACATGTTATGGTACGCTAAAAATAACAGGTGGCGCAGGATAACGTGATCTATTTTACATCTCAAAGGCTTACCTTCATAAAATATATACATTTTTCAATAAGTATGAGAAGTTTGGCTTCAAACACAAGAAATTTTTAAATGTAGAAGAAATAATAGCGTTGTAACGGTTTAATTGTTGTGTGGTAAATATAAATAATAAAAACTCGAGATTCTAAGACCTCTTAATGACAGAAAAAACAACAAAAACATTTTTTTAAAAACTTTAAATTAGCTAACACAAACCAATATACTTAAGTACACAGCACACGCAAAGACAACTTAACTACTCAGAGCTGTTCGTAGCATAATAGCGTGTCAATGTATTATCTGGGTTTCTACAATTCGCGTCCCGTTGGCTCAAAATCGTGCTCCATACTATTAGGTCGTGAGTGGGTTATAAGAGTGACTTTAAATCTCAATATTCGATTACAATTGTGCATGAGTTGTTGGTGAGTGTTGTTGATTACATATATGTTTCCCTTCTAATCTGTAAGTTAAAAATTTGGGAGGCTAGTTCAGATAACTTGCGCAAGCATCACTTACTTGCTAACTCTCCTCTCCTATCCACAGAAGTTTATTTTGTCGTCGAAATACAAAGTCAATATTCACAAAACTAAACTAAATGATTAACCAGTTGACAGTAACTGATTGAAAAACTCGCTAACTCAATAATCAGTTATCCTCCAATCGTAAATCAATCATCACATACTCAAACAAGTATTTTATATATGTCTCAGATCGTTACTTTACAAAAAGATTCTTGTCGATAAGCCAAATCCGTCACTTTGAGTTAAACAACAACACAAATGTCTGCCAACAACAACGTGAGATTAAATTATACATATTGTACGGGAGTATTTGATGAGAAACATTACTTTCTGAAATTATAACTGTTAGATATATACGACTCATTATTTAATTTCTGTAGTGTATAGAAAACCTATTAATACTAGAAATAAACGACCTTATAACACCAAAATGTTGTTTTTATTTAATTAGACACTCAACGTTTCGCTTTATAGCTTCTTCAGGAGCGTTTACTAAAGCACACAAACCAAACTGACAGTACAAAACTTCGAATGGTTTCAATACTAAATTCTATTCGAATCTATAATGAGCATTTGGACAGCGTGCTTTTGACATATTAAATAGTAAAGCTTATTAGTTTCGTTTTGAGTTTACTTGTGTACTTGATAATGATCGCACCAGTGATCGAAACGTCGTACTTGTTCTGTTGTTGTTATTAGTAAGCACAAAGCTACACTATACTCTGCCCACCGCTGTGCCACTGGGGGGGGGGGGGGGCTACTTGTTCTAAAAACTAATCTTACTTACTGTAAAAGCTGTAAATTGTAGTAAAGCTCATTGTTGAAATAATTCACTGTTACCTGTAGTAAACACAAGTTCTTTCAAGATTACAGAGTGAAATAACAAAAAACGTTAGGTTAAAAAATAAAAAAAATAATTAAAATTATCTACGACCACAGATGAATAGGGACAAAGGATGGCGCCTATAAGTTTAATTATTTTATTTTTTAACCTAACGTTTTTTGTTATTTCACTCTGTAATCTTGAAAGAACTTGTGTTTACTA